AGCGCTCCTTGAGGCGCTCGACGGCCGTGTCCTCGGGGACCTCTTCCAGCCACTCGGCCCCATCCAGGGCGCAGATCCGGAGCCGCAGCACCTTCGCCGCGAAGATCTTCTCCTCCTGCACGAACATCGCCCGCCCGCCCGGCCGGCAGAAGGAAGAAGGCGAAAGAAGGGGGAGCCGGGCCTCCCTCCTGGCGCTCACCCTTCCCTCCTTCGCCGGCTGGGCCTGGCCTGCTCCGTCTCCCCCTCTCTGGGCTAGGCCTAACTTCCGGTCGGCGCCGGAAGTGGGGGGAAATAGTCCCTCGCGGGGCATGCCGGGAGCTGCAGTTCCTGCGCCCACAGACTTCGGAGAGAGAAAACCCCTCCCTAGAAAGGGGGGGGTGACTTCCGAGTCCCTCCCTTCCCCCCACAATAGTGGTCCATCATCTTCCGGGGTGGGTGGGTTTCGAGCCCTTCCCTGTTCCTCCTTTTTGGGGGGGGTCGTTTCCACCCCCCTTGAGAAGGAAGAAGGGCAACCCGCTCCCCTTCCTTTCCTCATGGGTGTCCTCCCCCCCCAAAAAAATACATGGAGCAGAAAGACTGAAATGCTCCCCTCATGTGGCTCTTTGGTCCCTGGGGAAACATCTTCTCTCCCCCCCACACACACACCTCTCCATGTTCTTCTTCATCATCCTCTTAGGTCAGCCCAGCTGGAAAAGGGGACCCTGGGGATCATCCAGCCCAACCCATTTCAAGGAGACACCGTGGTGGAGGATTCGAACTCCCAGCCTCTGGCTGGTGTAAAACCACTGAACTAACCAGGAGCTCATTAAGAATCGTCGTCATCCGCTTAGAGCTGGAAAAGGGGGCCCTGAAGGGTCATCCAGTCCAGCCCCTCTCCAGGAGGCCCCGTGGGGGAATCGAACTCCCAACCCTCTGGCTCCCCTAAGCTAACCAGTCGGCGGAACGATTGAACCCTCTTTTGGATGTTTTACATCCTCATCACGGAACGGCAGAGCTGGAAGGGACCCGGTGGGTCATCCAGTCCAGCCCCTGACCAGGAGGCCCCGTGGGGGAGAATCGAACTCCCAACCTCTAAACCACGGAGCTAGTGGGGGAATCGAACTCCCAACCCTCTGGCTCCCCTAAGCTAACCAGTCGGCGGAACGATTGAACCCTCTTTTGGATGTTTTACATCCTCATCACGGAACGGCAGAGCTGGAAGGGACCCGGTGGGTCATCCAGTCCAGCCCCTGACCAGGAGGCCCCGTGGGGGAGAATCGAACTCCCAACCTCTAAACCACGGAGCTATCCAGCCGTACAGTCCAGCCCTGACCAGGAGGCCCCGTGGGTGGGAATCGAACTCCCAACCTCTAAACCACAGAGCTATCCAGCCGTTTACAAACAGGAGCCTTGTAATAGCATCGTATTCTTTATTTCTTAAGATCGAGTTCGGTGGTTTTCAACCGTCGGCGCTTTCGATGCCGTTTGTCGTGCTGCGAATGGACCTCGGAAGGCCATCAAGTCAAACCGGTTCCATGAATCCAACCTTACTTGATGTCCGCTTCCCACATTTCGTGCGGGTCTTTCCTCTTTTTTTAAACTTCTGTGCTCATCAGCTATAAGACATCATCTTTTTAGCATCCAACTACTTCCGTTTCTACTGCCTAGCAGAACAACAGGAACTGATTTCACCCTTGTGTTGTGCGAATGATCAAATCTTAAAAGTCGATTTATTTAAAGGATGCTTAAAGGTAGTTCTTATTGCCCCGGTGACGGTGGCCGTCTTCACACAAAACCAAACCAGATCCCCAAAAATCCGTTCCCATTCCCGACTCGCCCTAAGAACAGATGCAAACATTGGAGGAAAGTGGCTTAAATTCCTGTCCTTAACGAGACGCTCGTGGGCGTTAGTCGCAAAAAATCACCGACGGACAAGAGGAAGGCAGAGTTTTTATTTCCTTTATTATTTTGTAAATGTGAATTTTACAAAGCATCCATTAATGATCATATTTTTAAATGGATTTTCTTTTTTCCATTAGATGAAGACAGCTAATGACCACATTTTTTCAAACTCTTGGGATGGGGGAAAAATGGATATTTTAAAGTCTCCCCACACTATTATTTCATATGTTACATTAAGGGATCAATATCGTCAGGCATGGCTTTAAAATAACAGTCTTCTGCTAGATGAGAAATGGCACGTATATTAACAAAACAGAGAAGGAGTAACTTTTGTGTAGCTGAAACATTAACTCAGCAGCACTGTGAAATCTCTCCTTTTCCACCGGGATTATTATTATTTTAACAGTCATGAATTACAGTACTACAGAATACTTCAATACATATGTTCCTAAGAACAATCTTGTTCTTTTAAGACTTCTCTTAGACGATGCCAAGGAGCAACACCTTATTTGACTCAAGCGCTGCCCGAAAGGTTCAAGTTAAAAATATGTATACATTTCTGCTTAGACTATGTCTTTATAATTTTTTTTTGTCTCTTAAAAATACTATTGCAAGTTTTGACTCC